TATGTACCTTTAAATCATTTATAATTTTCTTGAGAAAGGGCTCACAAGCTGAAACAATAATTATTGTATTCGTAAGTAGATTTGAGAATCCCAAATTTCCAGAGAAGTGCAATAACGAAATGAGAAAGATGATTTTCACGAAAAATTTTGATTAATAAAATAAACTTACTGGATGTTAATATGGCTATATTGGTAAACGATAAGTCACACACTACGAAACGCGTTGAAGAACTGAGCGTGTTATGTTATATCGACTGCGCACTACGTTTTCTACTAGACTAATGCGCTAGTCGACAAATTCATTTTTTAAATCTGTTTGGAAAAATGGATGACCTTGATAAAGAAATTAAAGATTGGAGTCACAGTAGTGTGTCGCTGAGTAATGAGATTGTCTGCTGCACCAGAACACAATGGAATAACTTTTTGAAATTCGGGATTATGTCTTACAAAGTGGTGTGTTTCCAGAAAGCTTGAAAATCGGAAAAATAGCTGTTATATATTTAAAACAGGAAACAAAAAGGCTATGAGTAACTATAGGCCAATATCTGTACTAAGTGTGTCATCAAAAATTATTGAAAAGTTAATAAAAAAACATATTTCATCTAATGAATGTAAGCAAGTATCTTTGGATGAGTACCAATATGCGGTTTTAAAGAAAATAGTACTAAGTACTTTGCGTCCTACAGCTGACTAAGTCAGTTATCTTTCTGAAATAGTCTTGTGGCTGTAATATATGTATATTTTAGAAAGCTATTTGATGTGGTTGATCCACATAAACTACTAAGTAAGCTGGAGTCTATTGGAATTACGGGAACTATGATGAATCTAATTAGAAGTTATCTAAAGGAGTTGCTACCCATATAAAGCACATTTCATCATCATCATCATCATGATAAGCAGCCCAGTCGCGTCCACTCCTGAACATAGGCCTCCCCTTTCAGTTTCCATCTCTGACGGTCTTGTGCAATGTGTTGCCATCCTCTCCCTGATGCCCTCCGATATATGTCATCCATCCACCTCTTTTGAGGTCTCCTTCTGCCGCGTTTGTGTGTTCTTGGTCTCCACTCCATGACTATTTTTGTCCTTGCCACGTGGCCTGCCCATCTCCACTTTGCTTCTGCTATGCACTGGATCACATCATTCACACCCGCGCGTCGATGTATGTCGTAGCTGTTTATTTTGTCTCTCAGACTAATGCGCGTTCTATGCCCCTCTGTGTGACTCTCAGTCTGTTTGCACTTTTTATGGTTAGTGTCATGGCTTCTAGGCCGTACGTGAGTACAGGGAGTATGCACATGTCATGCACTTTCCTTTACATGTTTATAGGAATTTCTGGATTTTGCAGGATAAAGCGCAACCTTCCAAATGCTGCCCAGGTCATGCTCACTCTTCTGGTAATTTCAGCCTTTTGGTTCTCTTTCCCAAGCTTGATCTGGTGCCCGAGATAGACGTATTCGTCCACTCTCTCTATTTCTTGGCCTTCAATGGTAAGTAGGTTTGTCCCATTTAAACTCATGAATTTAGTTTTTGCAGTGTTCATCTCTAGTCCCACTTCCTGCGATGCTTGGTTCAGTTGCTGTATCATTTCTTTTAGTTAATCGAGTCTTTTACCGATCAGAATGATGTTGTCGGCGAACCTTAGATGGTTTAGATATTTGCCATCCACATTCACGCCTTTGTTTTCCCATGATAGAGTTTTAAATATATCTTCCATGGTTAGGGTGAAAAGCTTGGAAGGAATGATGTCGCCATGTCGTACTTCTTATTCATATTTTGTCCGTGATCATGTCGCTTTCGATCTTTACTTGGAATGTGGCGTTCTCGTGGATGTGTTTCAACAGGTTTATTTATCTTGAGTCAATCCGTGCGTTTTCCATTGCTTTAAATATTGCGCTTAGGTGTATGGAATCAAAGGCCTTGCTGTAGTCTACAAAAGCCTTATATAGTGCTATATCCCTTCCGGAAACCTGCCTGTTCCTCTGGCTGATAGAAGTCCATCTTTGATGTTAGCCTGTTTGTTATGATTTTTATAAGAAGTTTATACGGATGTGAAGCAAGCTGATGGGTCTATAGTTTTCTATTGAGTTTTTATCACCTTTTTTGTGGATTATGACGACCTGTGCGTTGTTTCATGATTAGGGGATTTGACTTGTCTCAACGCATCTGTTTAAGAGAGACTGTACTACTTTTAGCGCATTTTCTCCTCCTAGTCTTAACATTTCTGTTGTGAGTTCGGCCTCTCCAGGAGCTCTTCCAGATTTAAGCTGTGAGAGTGCAAGTGTTATCTCCGAGATGGTGATTTCTGGTATGTCTCCAGAACCTGCGTTCTTTATATTCAAGTTTTGTTCGACATCTTAGTTGGGGTGTGATGCTGAGTAGAGTTCCTTATAGTACTCTTGGATGATTGTTATGATCTTTGTTCTTTCGTGTTGTTTGTTTCCATCCTTATCCTTCATTTGATGGATTCTTATTTTACCTATGTTGTATCTTCTTATGTCTTGTCTAATTTTCTTTGAGATGTTTCGGTTTATTTTGGTGTATACTATTCAGGTGAATCTCTGTGCAGACTTTCTCTCTCCGCTATCATTTTGCGAGTATCCGGCTTGAGTTTTGAATTTTGAAGAGTGGTTCGATAGTTTAGTTTTTTGATGACTGTATGTATGTCATTTTTAATCTTTTCTGCCAAGCAGTCGACTGTGGCATTGCTGGGTTCTGTCGAGAGTTTCTTGTCTAGCTCCCTCTTGTATGTCTCCACGTTTTGTTTCAGTTCGACTAGGGTAGGGTAAGGGTTATTCTCAATGAGTTTACTTCTTTCGGCTATAGAATTTAAATTGTTTGTTACCCTAACTAGTCGGTGATCGCTATTTGTGTCGAATTTATTGAGTACCGAGACGTCTGTTACTATGTATTTCTTGATAGTGAGTATATAGTCGATTTCGTTTTTGTTTGCTAAATTCGGGCTTCGCCACGTCCATCTTCTACTAACGGGTTTCTTGAAGACGGAGTTCATACACAATACGTTTTCGCTTTGTAGGAAGTTGATTAATGTGTCTCCCCGCGAGTTACGTTCACCCATTCCGAATTTGCCGACTTGTAGGATTTGTAAATCTTTTAGCTCTCCTATCTTGGCATTGAAGTCGCCAGTGATAAGAGTGTATTGGGTCTTTTCTAACTTAATTGCTGTTCTTAGGTCTTCGCAGAGTTGCTTGATCTCTACATCTGGTGCTGTACTTGTTGGTGCGTATCTCGGTGCGTATACATGCACTGCCTGAAGCTTGTATCTTGATGAAAGTTTTGAGGTGATGTAAATTTAGCACATTTAGTCAAACTAATTTTAAGAAGGTTCAAATAATAGAAAATAAAGTATTGAAGGTATTATATAGTTATCATGGACTTACCAACAATACGGAAACACTATTTTTTTGTTGTTGCTAAGTTTGTTGACTGTGGGGAATAGCAACTTTATAAAAATTGATTATTTATGTTTTTCAGATTACTAAGTGAAAATCAAGAGATTAGAGATAGATTATTGTCGTATTTATTTTTGAATATACTTAATCATCTCTCGAATCATCTATAGTGCAGTTCTTATCATGTAGAAATTACAAACTCAAAAAAAAACAACAATATTTTGTTGTTGCAAACAAAGCAACAAGGCCAGTATAGAAATAGAAAACAAACTAGATTTTTTTTTTAATTATTAGGTTAATGGACTTTTCCACCAACTATTTTAGGGGAGCCTTAACGATAAGTATTCCTTAAAATGACAGTCTTCCATGGAGAAATGTCAGTTTAAGGCATACTTATCGTTAAGGCTCCACTTAAATAGTTGGTGGAAATGACCATAAGAAATTAAAAACTCAAAATCATAAAAAAAACCTCCAAAATCAAATTCAGCAGCAAAAAATAATAGAGATATTATGTATATGAGAACTAACGAGATAACTAAGTATAACGTATAACTAATAGAGAAACGAGCAACGTATCACAAATTCAGTCAATAGAGTCGGTCTAGAAAAAAAAAAAACGCAGATTTTCTTCATAAAGTTCAGACAAGCTGTTATGCGCCTTCATCCGAGAAACATACAGATGTAAAAGGTGCTTGGCCAAGCTCGCTGAATATAAATCTCACTGCACAGAAGCTTCTAGCATAGCTAGCCTTCAATTCTACTCATCAAAATAAGTTCCCAAGAACCTGCCAGGAGGTTTGCTTTTCATTCTACAATTTATCTTTATGTCATCACAAGTACCTAAATGTCAATCCAAGAACATTTATGTTGTTACAATTAGAGCATAAGCTTTATTAGAGTCATGATATCCTTAACAGAACTCGAGAATAGACCTCCACATCTCCACTTAAACAGAAAAACCGCTAATATTAAACAGACAAAAGTTCCTCTCCTGAAGGTACCCAAAAAAAGAATGTTAGGACTTGCATGTTAAGCGATTCTAGAATCCAGAATTGTTAGAAAGCTGACATTTATAGCAACCTTCTGGATAGAACAGTTAAGCATTTGATAATGCATTAAATAACTAAAAAGAGAGTTGAACAAATTCATCTTTAAACATGAACTTTTGCTACAAAATCGAGAAAAAAATAGTGTATGACGTCAGTATGCTGTTGTAGTTGGGCAATAAGATGCGATCATTATACAAAGCAGTAGTGTTTTTTTTTGTGAGGGTCATCTAATACTCACATAAAATAACAGTGTGAGTCAATTAAAAAAACTACGAGAAAAAATATTAAAGAAAGCCATCAGACCACCAGAGGAACATTTGCAACTGAATGTCAGGAGTTTTGAAATAGGCTTTATTACCACCTATACCTACAGTTGAAACAAGTTCAAAAAGTTCAAGAATTGACTAACATAGGCTGACAAAGAACAAAAATAATTGGCAAAGCTAATATTTGAGACTGAGGACGTCGCTCGGCATACTGGACATGTGCTATTGTCCTCTGCTAGAAACCCTGGAATGGAAAGCGAAAACTCTGAACTTACCACCTTTTTTTATCTATAAAAACAGAATAAACCAGGTAACTCACTTCGTTTTATCAAATAATTAGATTCTCACTTTGATTCGGTTAAATTTTGACTAAGTAACCTGTCAAAATCAAGGTATTGTTTTTGATAAGAGAAGATAATGGAATGGATAAACAGAGATAAAATTGTTACCCAAAAATAGGTATTCCAGGTTTCATTACAGCAAATTAACGCAAATATCAGATGAAAAAGGGATGGCAGTGTATAGATTTTTGAACAATAAATAGACTTCTTATTAAATATTAATTTTTATCTTAAAATGCATGAACTGTGAACTCACCCGGAAAATCACTTGTGCTGATAAAGCTGCTTCGAAATGCTTAATTATTTAATATTTACGCCCAATTTAATTATGCGAAGATTAAAATATTCCTTATCAACTATAAAAAGTAAACAAAGAACATATGATTAGGAATAGGAACAGGAACGCTAAAAAGCAAGGATGTTTTAAACATCGATAAAAGGATACCTACATCTATCAGAACATCGTCAGCATAGTCCTACAAATTTGTGACGTCATCAAACCGGCAAATCCAAACCCAAGATCCAAACTTAAAAAAAAAAAACAAGAAACTATAACCTCAAATCACTATTTGTGACGTCAGCCGCAGACCCCAACTGTTGGCGTAAAATAAATTATCCGAGTTCGAAACACAGTATAGGTCAAAAAACCGAATTCCCAAACAGAACAACGAACCGAACAACAATTGAACACTAGAATTAGTAATTTGGACGCGGCTACGAACCAAGGATGATACACACTTTACTACTACAGGATAGCCTATCCTCATAAGGTCTGTGTGGAACAAATCCCCTCCCCTTCCCGCCCATGCCAGATTACCAGTTGTGTCGTAGGCAGTATGTTATTTCTCGCCTTGACGTAGGCTGTTTGAACTGCTGACGACTTAGTTACGACGTCGGAAATGGTGACACACCAATATGGCGGCGTTTACCAAAAACGAAGCCGATAAACAATCCTGTAGGTGAGTATCATCCTTGGCTAAGAACGGGGATTTGCGAACCGGTTTGCTTGCCGCGATATAGCATTTGACAGCCAAAGAGCCTACCTAACCATTGTACGTAACAAAGCTGCCATGACGTCATAAGGTTCCCATGCGATGGTTGGTAACTGTTTGAAAGACCAAACGGAAGCGAAATCGCCTAAATTCTTTGGTCGCTTTAACCCTAGTACTCATAACTGCGAAATTCGCATTTTTTTGACATTGCTTCGACAATTTGACGTTTGATACACGCATAAAACGTGAAATTGTCAACGCAATGTCAAAAAAATGCGAATTTCGCAGTTATGAGTACTAGGCTTAAGGGTGGATTTTTATGCATCCGTTTGTCCGACGAAATATGTCCGAAAAATCTTCTATTTTGACATTATTTTATACGATTATGTCAGAATAGAATGTTTTTCGGACATCTTTCGTCGGACAAACGGATGCATGAAAATCCACCCTTAGTTCTTTTCACGTGGCTCCGATTTAACTAACCAAGTTACAAAACGGTTCGAGAAATGACATACCGTTTTCTAACCCGGTTACAAAGTGACGTGATGGATACCTACCACTCGAATTTGAGCGGTATGTTGCGGTTTGTTAAACCGTAGCCACGTGAAAAGGGTTTTTGAGTTCAAAATCACTTGATTTCTAACCCAACATTTTTCGTTTAATTTTTTCTTTTTTCAATCGTGTTCATTGAAGAAAGATGGAAAATAGAAAGCCTGTGATCGGGTTAATCGTATCAGCGTCTCCATAGGCAACATGTGTATGGCCGACCAAATGTTAATTTTTCAATATTCGCCTTACTCAATCGTTTGGTGGTCGTTTGGTGGTCTTTGGTATCCCACTTTTAGTATTTGGTGGTAATTACTTAGGCAGTAATTAACAATTCAAAATTTCATATGACGTTGGCCGACATAACCTGATTCTAATTTATTTTTTGGCCCATTTATAGTCAAATTGAACGGAAATCGTTTGGTGGTCACGAATTTACCGAATTTAACGTTTGGTAGTCAATAATACCGGAGATATTAATCAATTAAGATTGTTTTCTGATATATTCTAATTATTCGTCGCGCATGCGCATATATTATCTGTTTTTCATTGAGCCGCCTCGATCGCGGCGTTGCCTACCTATTCTATAATTTTCAATCAAATCAATTATTTCATTACAATCAACGAATAATTAGGTAGGTATCTATACTTACTCGAATACTGAAAATAACTATCTTCTATACAGTATACATACAGTAACTATAACGTCTATAACAGTAATTAAGTTCGCAGGTTTATGACAAAATAAAACTCCAGTTAATTTCATTTTTGCTATTGTGGCGACCACTGACCACGACAACGACAATCCAGTAATCTAGTATCCAGTACAAGCAGAGTCCGCGACTCGCGAGTTGACACGCCACCGGCCCACCGCCAGTTCCGGATCGCATCGGCAACGCCGCGATCGAGGCGGCTCAATGAAAAACAGATAATATATGCGCATGCGCGACGATTAATTAAAATATATCAGAAAACAATCTTAATTGATTAATTACTCCGGTATTATTGACTAACAAACGCTAAATTCGGTAAATTCGTGACCACCAAACGATTTCCGTTCGATTTGACTATAAATGGGCCAAAAAATAAATTAGAATCAGGTTATGTCGGCCAACGTCATATGAAATTTTTAATTGTTAATTACTGCCTAAGTAATTACCACCAAATATTAAAAGTGGGATACCAAAGACCACCAAACGACCACCAAACGATTGAGTATGGCGAATATTGAAAAATTAACATTTGGTCGGCCAAATACATGTTGCCGTCTCCATAAAGGCCAAGAATCGTAAACTGACAGGATTGCTCATCCTCATTAGTTGTATTCCTTTCACACCTAGGAGGAGCTCCGGGGCTTCACGCGCTTATTCCTTTCGAAAAGTGTTTGTTGCACCACGCATCTGTTTCCTGCAAATCGGGGGCTACGAAACACCGAAGCGAGTAGCTCGAGTGTTTCAAACTCTTGAAAGGAATACAACTATTGCCTAGTGTACTCATAACAGCGAATTTCGTTTTTTTTTGACATTGCTTCGACAATTTGACGCTTTTTGCGTGAATCAAACGTCAAATTGTCGAATAAGCAATAGTTGTATTCCTTTCACACCTAGGAGGAGCTCCGGAACAGCTCCGGGGCTTCACGCGCTTATTCCTTTCGAAAAGTGTTTTTTGCACCACGCATCTGTTCCCTGCAAATCGGGGGCTACCAAACGACGGAGCGAGTAGCTCGAGTGTTTCAAACTCTTGAAAGGAATACAACTAATGTCAAAAAAGGGCAAATTGCCAAATTTCGCGGTTATGGGTACTACGCGGCGTACGTTCGCCAAATCTCCAATCAGCAGGGTCTTTGCGAGTGACATCACCACTATCAGGAGCTAATAGTTGTATTCCTTTCAAGAGCTTGAAACACTAGAGCTACTCGCTCCGGTGTTAGTCTACCCCGATTTGAAAGGAACAGATGCGCTAGCTTTCATGCATTTAAATGGTTTGAGTCGGGCTTGAGCACTCAGGTGCAATAAAACCTTTTCGAAAGGAATAAGCGCGTAACGCTCCGGAGCTCCTCCTAGGTGTGAAAGGAGTACAACTATTAGTGGTGACGTCACCCGCAAACCTCTAATGCTTGCGATTCAGGCTGAGTTGATTTTTTCGTCGTTTTGAAGTGTAGAAAAGGTGATTTTAACAAGATTTTAACGTTTAGGAATTTGTTTTTTTTGACCTATAGTGTTTTAAACTCGGCTAATGCATTTTACGCCAAGAGTTGCGGTCTGCGGCCGAAATGGCAGACACTTTCAGCTCAATGAGCAGTCCTATTAGGTTAACTAGAAACACTATTTTGTTAGTTTTCCTCATTATTATCAGATGATAAACAAAAACGATGAAAGGTCTTTTCTCATCTCACAAGAGTCTCTGACAGTTTGCGCAGTGTCAGAAAGCATCGCCCATACATGTTTCCAATGCAAACTGTCAGAGACTCTTGGGAGAACCAGAAGAATAGTAAGGGTATTAAACACTCCACTGTCTAGCCTATAGGGCCCAAGGAGAATAAACTTACTAAGGAGTGCTTATCAGCCCCTTTTTGGGTAATTGCCGCCATATTGGTTTTCAACTGTTTCCAACCACTGCTGACGTCATAACAAAGTCGCCAGCTGTTTGCGCCAGCGGTTTTATAAATTTATAATTTGTCATGAAAAATATTTTATTTTGATTTTGATTAACCATTATAGCGGGTAAAGGTACCCTATGCTATGATGGAACCAGTAGCGCGATATCTGGCTAGCTTTCGTCATTCCGCCTATTTACACGTTTTCAGCATGTATGATTTAATGGAGCCCTAGGAGAATTACGCGGCGTTTTGTTTACATTTCTTTATGTAAGTATAATAACTATAAGATAATTTATTCTATACTATTTAATTGTTTTTAGGGTTTTCTCATATTATTATAACATATTCCTATTCGAGCATAAATTGTTTGTTTATGTATTATATTCTTGTAAATATTACTGTCCCATATGGCATATGGGCCTGGGCAGAAGCTAACATTTTTAGCTGTACTTACATTTTGTTTGTGGAATTAGCCATCAGGAAGCTTTGAATACTGCTTATGATAATGAAAATGTTGATGGCATAATATATCGAGCCCACACAGAAAGCAAAGAGCTCACTGACTAAGATTCAGCAGATGAGGAACGTGGTTTTGACTTATCTACTAGGCAACTTTTGTGCTAGTGCAGAAATTGTTTATTCGAATGGGAAATATATCACAGGTAGAGTAGAATTAACAATTTTTTGGGAAATCATACAATTTTAACTTTATTTTTATTTTCAGACATACCCGAGGAAATATAAAGTACCACCTTGCGCTACAGGAGAATATGCTTCGGGCTGCAGCAAGTGATTTTTGTGTCAATAATGATATAAGGTATTATGGACTGCATCATTATTGAAACACTTTTCCTGAACGTAAAAAAACGATGTGGTGGTCAAAACTGTAGCAG